TAAAAATGAAAAAATTAAAAGTAAAAAAATATTAAATAGTAAATACTTTCTAACTATTTACTATTAAATAGTAAATACTTTCTAATAGTAAATAACTTTCTAACTACTTAAATAGTAAATACTTTCTAACACTTTCACTCGTGTTATCCAGTGTATTGCTGCGTAATTGTGACCTAATTGTCTCAAATTTGCTGTTCATGTTTTCAAATATGGTCATTCTCAGTATGAGCTTTTCTTCCTTTTATATCCACTCAACAAAATATTTGAGAATGAAAAAGTGAGCGTTCTTCAGGTCCATAAAATGATGCTAGTTACTTGAACAAGAATAAAAAACAGATGATGTTTGTTTTGATGTATAATTTTCTAGTTATTGTGACAGCTAAGGTAGGTACACGGTGTATTTTAAGGACCGGGTCTGCATAATATCATAATTCAGATTTCATTTCAAGATATGTGGTAAAGTCTCTCTTTCTGGTTTACCTCAGTGAAAAACATTAAAGTGTAAACAAATCTAGTTGTTTGTGGATTCAGAATTCCTGCTGTGAATGCTGCACTATGTTTTAGATTTCATTGGTTTACAGCAGATTTTTCAATTTTTTTTTTTTTTTTTTAGGTCAAACATACGGCCAGACTATGCAGATACAAGTTTTCATGAGTTCAAAATGCATACCTTCAGTCGTGTGACATCTTGCAAAGTCTGTCAGATGCTTCTGAGGTAAGATTTTTTTTTTTAAGTAAGTTTGTTTGTTTGTTTGTTTGTTTTTGGCCCCTACCCCCCCACCCCTAAATATCAGTGTCAAGAGTATGTGGAAATACATGGCTAGCTGGTTACCTGTCCAAGACAGACAAGCCATGAAGTCATATGTAACATTTCTTATTGTATTAGCAACTTTTTATAAACAAATTTCCAAATATTAGTGGGAGCGCTGTTAAAAACTCAAAACCTCAAGATGCTCCTTATTTATCAGAGGGCTGCTTTATCATGATTCTTTTATAAGAATTGCTTTATTAGAGGAGTTCTCACGTAAATGACAACCGTTTTGTTTTGACTACCATGGCTATTCCATGGTTCCCATTCCTATAGACCACCAGTCAGAAGAACAGATGGAATGTTTTTTTCAGAAAATCGGGTGATGACGTTGCTCATAAATGTTTGATATGGGGAAATAGCTTTGTGAGACAGAAAATAACTGTAAGGTATTAACAGGCATTTCTGAACCAGATGTATGTAGATAAAATGAAGATAGAAGTTGCAAAGCTAGATAAGAAATGCTAGCAGACAACTAATGCTTTCATGAGCAAGGATTTGTAAGGCTAAGCTAAGAAATTTTGTGTTTTCTGCCTTTTTCCTCTGAACACATGCATACTTGCACATCTGTAGTTTCTCATTTGTTATTTGAGCTATCTTTTAGGAGCTACCTTGCTTTTTTTGTAAATATGGAATGTCCAATGGTATGGAGGTATGTGTTGAACTTAAATTTCATAGTGTAAGTTGGTGATGCAAAAGCTTTGTAAACTTTAACCAGTTCAAGTGTTCACGTTGGGTATTGTTGATGTTACAAAAAATGTAGCCACAGCATTTTAGAAAGGGCATTTGAAGTATGGGTAGTGCTCTTGTTAAGCACAGACATGGAATAAAATAACCTCAGATATGTTTCTCCCTGTCATGTATTTTTTCCTTTAGCAACCTTTTTTCCCTGAACAGTTGAGACTGACCTGGATTTTCAGAAATTTTTTTAGTTTTTTTCTTTTCTTAATGCAATAAGGTCTAAGTGACTATGAAGAGTGGTGCAGACATCCTGAACTTGGAGATGGCAGGGCTAATTTCTGAATTTGAAGCAGTATAGTTGATTCATTGGGTCTCTGTTACTGCACTAACTGCTGTTGCTGAGAAACAGCTGTCTTGCTTTTAGAACACAGCCCGCATGATGCTACATTGTTCTGCGTAGGCACGCCAATTTGCTCAAAGATAGCTTGGGTATCGCCAGGTGCTACCTTGTCGTATATAGATATGTCCCTGGATATCTAAGTTGTAGTGAAAGCCTACTGGACGTAACCTCATAAAGTGCCTAAATCACTTTTTAAAATGGATTGTCATTTTAAGCTTCAAACATAAGCTAACGTGTAAATACTTGAGGAAAAACCTAGACCTTAGTGCCTAATCTTTAAGTGGGGATAAAATCCTAGTCTTAGAAGCATCTGTAGTGAAGGATAATGTTGTCGTATGCTTTTATCTAGAGAATCTTGCATTTCTGTGTAGCAATAAGGAGGAAAAAAAGAAAGGAAGACTGCATTAAAATGTTGTTATACTTCCTACTTATTTGTCTTTAAGTTTGTGTGTTCCACTACTTAAAAATACCGAACTCTGAATTTAATTAAAAATATATTTTATCTCTAAAAGTCCAGAAATGGCTGTAGTAAATAGCAGTTGCTGTACGTTTTGTTCAGGTTTAACTTGTTCAATCCTATGTTCCATGTGAGACACCTGATTTTCCTTTGAAGCTGAAGGTGTCACATTAGACTTGGATGCGTAATCACTCCAAACTGGTCAGGATAATCTTGGAGACAGACAAGTCTAGTGTGAAGAGTAAGCAGATACATCAGCAGATGAAACTAATAGGTATATGTAAAAAACTGTTTCCCTGTTGGCCATTTGGTGAATTATACCTAAGAGAATAGCGATGCACAAATCTGGAAATAAATCTGTTTCCTCAGACTCAAATTCAGATTCCAATTAATTAAGGACATTTAGAGTAAGGAAAGTGAATCCTTATTTAGCAGCTCTGAATATTAACTAAAGTGTACCCAGATATCTATTCTGTTTTTAATGAACAAATGTAAAGTCAAGAATACTTGCAATATAACCTGTAAACTACTTAATGCTTAAAATATGTATCTTCACACTTACAATTCCCTTGAAATGGATCTTACTTTTCATGGTGTCTAGGCAAATTCCCACTGAGATGAAGTGTAGATCTATAGTAGGATAGGTACATAATGCTACTATTTCAAGAGTACTGTGCCAAAGTTGCTTTGGGCTAAATTGAAATGGAGATGTTAGTTCTTCTGGACTACTAGTAGAATATCTGGCTGTGTTTTTTAAGTGGCTAGTTATGACGAAAAGCAGATGAGCTGCTTGTGAGTTGTCACTTTTTCTCGAGCCTTTAAGGACTATCATTATGCAGAACAGCAAATGACTTCCAATACCTTCTGCCATGTCTCTTATTTCCTTTATGCATGAATTTATAACCTCTAATGTATCACTACCTAATTTTATTTTACAGGGGAACATTTTATCAAGGCTATTTATGTTCTAAGTGTGGAGCTGGAGCACACAAAGAATGTTTAGGAAGATTAGACAATTGTGGCAGAGCTAATTCAGGTGGTAAGTCATTTTTATTGTTAGAATACCATTTTTAATTAGGACATAAAACTTGCTAGATATAATTAAGGTTTAATTTACCTCTAATTTGTGTTTATTGTAACATACTTGTGAAACTACCATTTGTAAGCACAATTAGAATTGCATTTAGAATTCGTATGGATTTTTATTGCAACTAAATTGAAATGTTCGAAAGCATGAGAGAACTGTTACAGGTCAAACCCAGTTTCTTTGTCAATGTCATATACAACAAGGAATTGCTCTTGTTTCAATCATAGACTGCTCATATATAACACCTGCTGTACAGCGTATCGTCTGTCATCTTTGTGGTTCTCCCTTTAAGTCTATGTCAATTTTCATATTTTCCTCTCTGCTCCTAAAGGTGTGTGTTTGTGTTACCTCAGCTTCCTCTTTCATCTCTTTGGTTTCCATGGTTTCTGTTTCTCACAATATTCACAAAAAGGTGATTGATGGCTCTCTACTTCCCACATGTAAGGACCATTTTTTTCACCCTCTTCTTTTAATCGATAAAATGTATTCTGTGAGTTTTTTCCCTGGCCGTTGTCACTTTGCACTGCCACTGCCTCGGTTCTTCTGCTGTTTGGGACCTTAAGGACTCTTATCATTTGGTCTCCCTCAGATGACTCCAAATCTGACCTCTTCCCTTTCTTTTCAGTATTGCATCTGTAATTCTGTCTGACATCTTCCAGATCTTCCACTGCTAATTCCAAATGTTATCTCTCATTATTTGCTCCCCTTTCCTTCCCTGTGCTCGTTCAATTGGTGGCAGACAGTTTGTTACACTCCAGCCAGCTAGTCGTATAACTGTAGTGCCATTTTTGACTCTTCTCTCTGTCCAGGTTCTGAAGTATTCTTTCTTCTTTCTAGAGATGATTTGATGATTTGGTGCTGATGGCGGGGGGGACGGACAGACAAGTGACAAACACATACCCACCCCCACCTCCCCAATTTCCTTTCCCATTAATACGTTTGAATTCTTGTTGTTTGAATGAGTTTGAAAGAGAAAAGCCATTGGAGCACATGATGATTTTTGGAAAGTGTAGTTATATGTTGGGGAGTTAATTGTCCTTCTCACTTCTCTAAAACCTGTACGTTCCTTTTCCAGAATTATTTCATAATAGTTTGTGAATTTTCTCATGTCTCACATAAGCAAGGGCAACCTCCTCTATTCTTTTTGACATTACAATCTACAGTCTTTGCAAAATGCTGTTGCAGAGATATCTCTCTGCCACTGCTTGAATTACATCACGATTTCATCCACTGCTCTTCACTAAGATGCTGCTTCAAGATTTTGTTTCTAGATTATTGTTCCTTTCAAAATTGTATAAGCTTGTTTCTGTCTTTGTCTCTGTTTCCGTTACTTCCTGGCTTTTGGCTCACTGTGCTATTTGCCTGCTTCATTCTTTCATGAAATCATCAGGATGGCAGGTACTGACTTCTGCTGCAGTCAATGAACTTTATTTTCTCAGTTGCTTTCCTGTATTGGAGGTCTTTCATGCTATCCTCCAAGTCTGGACTTTTTAAAACTAATCTTTTGTAGATCTGAAAACAATACAAGCAATCCCGGTATTTTTCCATGAAATCCTTTTTGGAACATGGGTTTTTCATAGAACCTATGGATATTCTAAAGAAAAAAATACTAAAAATACATTAAAATTATATATTTTAAAGCAATTACATGTAAATTAGAGTGGAAAAACATATACTGTTCTTCACAGGAGAGCTATCTTCTGTGGTATAAGCCTCCTCTACTTTTTTCTTTTACACCTTCTGTTTTAATTGCTTTTGTAGTTTTGATTTTAATTGGATAGCTTGGCACCCCAGGAGGCAGGAGCTTGTCTTTCTATTCCTCTGTAAAGATCTGTGGACACGTATGGTGCAACGTGTATCAGTAAGAATGACCATAAATGCCTAGACAACACAGGTCTGATTTCTTGCAGTTTTCCTGCACAGATGCTTAAGTAAAGCTGTGCACTTGCCAAAGGGAACAAAATAAAGAAAAAGTCACATTTCTGCTTCTTTGTGAGTGGAATAAATTATCATTTTACAACTTCAAAGGAGCAGAATGTTATTTTGGGTTTTACTTAATCATTGCCCTGATTTTTGTAAAATGATACTGTACTGAGTCTGTCTTCAGTGAAATTGGAAGCAACTGAATTGTTAAGACACTGTTTTGTGTTCTGTATTTAGCTCTCATCCAGATGTTCTGCTCTCTGTCCTATCTTCAAACTTTTCTTTCTCTTTTCAGTCTGTTTTTCTTCTATGCAAAGGCTCCCAGATTTCTGTAGCTCTAGTGTGAGCTGAAAGAGTTGTGTATCTTCCACCTGCTCATGAGGCAGAATGACAGGACGTGCTAGGCTGTGGCTTCCTACAGCCTGCTCCGAGAGTCAATCTCTAAATTACAGTTCTTGCCATGCTCCGCTTTGCTCTGTGAATGAGTATGGAAGGGACAAATGGTTTTGCCCACTTTGCTGGGAATGTGTCCTCTTCCCACCTGATGAGGGACTTTGGCCAATGAGTAGGAAGGGAAATCTTGAAATTTTTGTCTACTGTTTTCCATTTTTACTCTTTATTTGTCTTTTTAAAGAAGGAAGTGTTGATTGAGCAGTGCTGCCCATTCATACTGTGCACAGAGAAAGGAAAGGAGGAGCTTTACCAGTTCCTGCTTCCATATGTGGTCCAGAAAGGGATAGACCATTCAGACGCTCTTAAACATTGGTTTGTGCAACTTGAGTAGGAATGATTTTCTGGAGCTGTGTTTTCACTTCTCCAGAGTTATGCTGAGAAATGAGGTCTACCATAAGTTATCTGCCATACCTGCTAAGTTATGAAATGTTATTAAAGGAATTCAGACATAAAGATAAAATGTAAAATTCAACATTTTCACTGTATCTTGTGGAAAAAGTATGCTCTACGTGCACAAAATTCTAATGTAGTTTTAATTTTGAAGCTTTTACTTTTGAAATCTTTAGAGAAATTAATTTATGATAAATTAATTTTTCTAGTGGTGTCATTTGCTGCTCCTACGGGAAATTAGCCAAGGTGGCCTGAGAGTGCTATTAGATAAGAAATTGTGGAGCGTAGCCAGAATACTTTAATAGTAGCAAAACGTCTGGAACATTTATTGTATTGCTATGTATTTCTTTTGTTTCTAGGGGACTATTACAGCCTTTTTCACAGGGTATAATGGACATGAAACACAATCATCCTTTCTGCAAACTGGAAGTTATTATTCCCCAGTCATATGGTATTAGTTACGGCCACAGACTTGGAATATATATAAAAATCCCATGATATATGTGTGGTCTGTTTAATCTGGTGTTCTGCCTCTCTGCCAATAGTTGATTCCAGATGCTTCACAGGAAAATGCAAATCCTCTGTGTGGTAGACTATGCCCAGGAATGATGCTACTTTCTTAATCCTGTTAAATCTTCTTTTTATCTTTTTGGTGTTCTAGGAGTTTTTACATCTTGTTAATGCTTTTGCATAGCTTCCGTATTTTTGTTGATGGAAATATCTAACTGGGTTTCAGAAGTTTTGGAACAGTGAGTTCTGTAAATGTTTTGTTTGACTTCTGGTTTTTGTTGTGTTTTTTTTGTAGGTTGCATATCATCTTGGTTATGGTTGACCTTTTTACCTTTTTAATTTAACATGTGACTTTGTGACTTTTTGTGAGAAGAGTCAATGGAAGTCTTGACTGCTTCTATATGACAAATTATTTTATAACTTCTCATAACCTCTTACTAGTATACCCTCTGAACTGAATAGTCTTAAATTTTTTTGTTTCTTTATAAGTGGAACTTTTTCTATACCTCCAATAATTTTAATTCCCATTCTGTAGACTACTTCTGTTTCTAGAGGTCTATTTGAAAAGAAGTGATAAGAATTCAAAACACTGCAATGAGAATATACCATCAGGTTTCTTAAAGGCATTTGACTTTTCCTTGGCATTTTGTGTCTTTGTACAGTTTAAGATTTTGTTTTCTTTTTAGACCACTGAGCAGATGTTTGTGCTAGCCTTTCTGAAATTATGTTTAGAACCTCCCTGAGTGGGTTAAATCTTTTTGTATTTCACTCCAAGTCACAGTTTATGAAAATTCAAAAGACAGACATCCAAGACAGATGAAACCTTTAGAATGACAAATTTAATAAGTGTCAGATTTAGATGATACACTTATGAGAGAAACATTGACAAAACCTGAAGATAAATTGCTGTGTTGTCATGCTACGCCATATACAAAAAACATATGTCAGCTCTTCGGATGTTTTGCTTCAAAGAAGGCCGGTTCAACAGACTGTAGAAGTGGCAGTGGTAAAAGATGCAGAGTTAATCAGTTGAATTAGTAAATAGAACAAAATGTCTGCATTTAGCCCTTGGGTTTTTTTTGTTACTGTTCCTGTCTTGTTGCCGTAAATTGGAAGTGCTGGTTGAAGTAATCTGTGCTCATTTCTGTCATTACTGATTTACGTTGTTTCCCCCTGAAATGCTGCCCTGTGTATGCTCAAGTAGTTCTCTGCATTTTCATACACTTTACTTTTATGCCCTGTGACTTAATTTTTCTGCGACTTGAAATCCTCCATGCCCCTCTTTTTTGCTAATGTTTCATTTGCTGATGAACTCCTTCAAGTCTGTGTGATCTTAAAGACAGGGCTGTATGAAATCCTTAAACACAAGAATTACAAAATGGATGCACGTGTTTCTCTGACAGGGCCATTTATAAGGATGTATGTGTTGTTCTTTGGTGACTGATGTGGAGGTCTCATCTTCCCTTTCTACCTCTTCTGGCTTCTGAACTGCACTCTTATACTTATTTCAAGGCACAGGACAATTTTACTTATCTGGTGATGCTCTCCCACTAGTTGGAAGGGTTTATATTTGGGAATGGTTAAGAGTGGGACCTTTAGTAAGTTAGCATGAGTAAGACACGCCTTTAGCAGGAAAAGGGAGAAGCTGCCTGCCTCATTATGCCCATTTTCATTGTACAGGTTGTTCTGTGGCCCTTGCAATTTCTGTAGAAGTCCTCAGGATTGATAGAATAGTATCACTCTGCCCAGAACATATTGCAGAACTCCAGTCTGTTTCCTAGTCTAAACCAGCAGAATTAACAATCTGTTTCTGTTGCCAGTCTGGAATTTTTCCAACTCTGTCCAATTATATTGAATTAAGTATTCTCAGGCAAATGTTTGCTGTTCAACAAACTATTGAATATTTCAATTAGATGAACCTCCAATAATGGTTCTAGAATCTGAAAATGTTTTGAATATTTTAAATAGGGTGCCAAACCCACAAAATTTTCTTCTTTATATTGCTGTTCCCAGGGAGTGTTAGAAGCATCTGTCATCAGGGCATAAATGGATTAGAAAAACATTAACTGGGCATTTTTGTAGTAATTTTTAGTTAATTTATGCATGATTCCTTTCTCCTTCAGATAATTCTGTTTAAGAAAGTACTACATTTCCTTAGGTGGAAATGTAGGTAAAGGAGAGGTAGAAGGTTCTTCAATCATGTGATGAACTTGAAAGAAAATGTTACTATATGAATGGGTTAAGTTTAGACGTGCTTTCATATGGTAATATATATGCCCAATAATATAGTCTATGCTGTTTATGTAATAATTACTTGCTACTGCACATTAGAAATTATTCATTAAAAGCATGTGTTTTTGACATCTGAAAAGAAATCATCAGCTTTCACTATTTGCCTTTTTGCTGGCTTGATCAATAGTTGCAAAATCACTGGCTGTCCTCCAAACCTACCATGTCAACAGAATTGACAAGTAAATGCTCAAATCCCAGAACGTTCTTTGCAGTTACGCCACTTTATAGTTAACAGCAACAAAGGTTGCGCTGTATTGTTTAACTAACCATCCTTGTTCAACCTGAACAAAAGTCACTTAGGGGGATTGATATTTTTTGCAGAGTCCTACCCTATGGTACTTCTAGTTCATGATTTGCTTTGCAATGACTGGCTAAATGACCACAAAGGAGCAGGTAGTCCCACAGCTCCTTCAAAGTGGCTTACTTTTTAGCTCCTGCATTCTAAATATTTTGAATTTTCTTTTAAAATAGGAAGGTGAGTAGTTTACTACATATCCTTTTTATTTACTCTCCATTTAGTTAGAATGTAAATCCAGCTGCTCTGTTGCATCCCTGAGGAGCAGCTTTTTCCCATTTTCTGATCTATGCTCCCTCACTTATTGAGGCCAGCTGCTGCTTCTGTCGCTTTTGTAGTAAAATATAATTATCAAAATGTGACCCAATGGTATCATGGCCTCAGTGAATAAGCAAAAACCCTGAAACTTGTGCTGAACTACGGCAGTAAAAGTAGCTTGCTTTCAGAACTGAGAACTCGCGTCATAATTTCATTGGCACATTGGTGATGAATAGAAACTTAAACTAAAATTGTCATTTGTAAAATAGCTGCTGGTGGATATCCTCAGACATTCATTTTTTTTCTAAAAATATAAATAAATAGAAATGAGGGGTTTTTTTGCTCGTCTACTTGTGTAATATTTGGAAAAAAAAATCTCTCATGAGGAAGCAATTCACATAACTCAATACAGAATATTCTGAAATACAGGACTATTTAACCAGTAATGAAATAACAAGACAAGCATAAGTCTTATTTTTTGAATAGGCTTTTATGTGGAATTACAAATACTGGATATTTTTCTATTCCTGAAGTGTTAATAGTGAAATCACAAATGGTATTTTGGTCCATCAGTGTTGGCAAAGTTTTGGGCTTTCTTTTTAATCCAATCCCGCCACCTTCCTTTTCATGAGATGTATTTTATGTGAATTATCAGGAGTATTTATCCCTTCTTGTGTAGTGATTTCTTGAATCCAAATATTGAAAGTTAATAAACGAGTTTCTTATTTATTATGAAAAGTATTGTGATGCTGCAATCAGCAAATGGAACTCATTCATCTAGATGGGTTTGGGATATTTCCTAGAGGTAAAAATATTATTCAACATCAACCATTAAAAATTGGGATTCATTCATTCCCACTGGAAGATAGAATGACATTTCCATTTCATTTTTTTGATGAGAGATCTGCAGAACTAAATGTAGGGCTTTTAAGAAAAAAAAAAAAAAGAAAACCAAAAGAAAAACAACAAAAAAGAAAAACAGTAAGTCTGCATTTGAAGTTTTGGTGCTCCCCGCTCCCCCCCGCCTTGAATTCATTTACAACGCTGAGATTAAACATTCAAAAAAGGTGATATTATTCAGATTTTGGCAAAAATTCTGAAAGGCATATCAAATTGCAACAGTAAATACCAAAATTATATGGAATTTCAGCAGCACTTAGTCAACTAATTCCCTCAGGCTCCTTAGAAAACCTCAGTAGTCTACCTGCATCTCCTCCTTTTGGGCGGGCTTATTTTTCTTCTCTTTGCTCATTGTACAAATGCAAATTAATACTTTTGGAAAGGGTATAATCATAAAAGTGTTTTCTGCGGATGACAAGATGATGTGTCTTTGGCGCACTGTATGAGAGAGGAAATGGTGGCTGAAAGCGTACGTGAGAGCCCTGCCAGTGGTAAACAGGCTGTGCCTCCCTAGCCCGGCGTCCTCAGCTGGCGTGCTTGGTCTCAGCATGCCTTATCATCTTTGCATAAAATGCTAGAAAACCAAAGATAATGTTTTCCCACACTTTACTGTTTAATGTAATTTTTTTTTTCTTAGCAGAACAAAATCTACTTGCCGTTAAAGCTTTTTAGTTGATCTACTGTGTATATGACTTACTGCTTACAAGATACTACAGTAAAAATTTTCAAATATGAAGAAGAAGTAACCAGGCATGTGCAGTTTGTGCTTTGCCACAAGCAGTGTGTGCAGTCCTAGAGAGTGCATCCAAGTAAATACAGTACAGCTGTGTGTGCTTTGATAAGGCACTGAACCAAAATCTAGAGTACACCCAAATACCTGTTACCAGATTAGATTTTCAAGGAAAAATATGAAAAGAAACGCTTTTTCTGTCTTTTGTTATGTGTGGTGGTGTGTGCTTTCAGAAGTGTTATTGTCTTGATGCAGTCCTTCTGATCTCCCAGAGAGAGACTATTTTTTTTCTCCTTTTAAATGTACTTTAAATAGTAGAATAAAATTCATAGGGAAAGACGCAAATAAAACACCAATGGCTTCAGAGTCTGTGGTATAATAATGCAATGCTAAACTGAACTTAAAGACACAAAATATAGAAAATTTTGGAGCTAAAAGTAAACATCTTATCTTGATGTACGTTGGCATGCTATGAGAAGGCAGACAAGAAAAGGTGTAAACTCGACTTGCAGTGAAGAACCATAGCTTTTCAATTCCCAATGAACCAATACTTGGAAAGTATTTTTGAACTGTTCTAAAAGCTTGTAAATTCAGTGGACCAGATTGCTATGCCACTGCTGGAAAGTGCAGCATAACTCGCAGCCAGGAGCCTTTCGTCGCTGGCTTGGCGCTGCCCGCAGGACCAATGAGCAGGGAGGAGAGCGCGCCTCGGTTTGCACAACAGGACCTGGCGCAGCCCCGGGCTGCCGGGGCGGCTGCAGGTATCAGGTAGCGAAGGAAGGCAGCTGGGTTCTTCAGTAATGCAACACAGCACAGGCTGAGATTTGCTGTATAAAAAGCGTACAATTTACAGTCGCCAGTAATGCCAATTTTTACTTATGTTTCAGAACATGGGAACCTGAAACATGAGGTAAGGATTTGTTTTCCTTTGCATGTGATGTTTGTTTTGTCAGTGACATTAGAGCTCCTTATTTACTTTGTGCACGTGCTGTTGGAGCAGGTATGTTTTTCTTCTGCGTTTAACAACAGATTTCTTTAGAGCGGTGGAAAATAGAAGTTGTCTAAGAAACAAGGTATTCATAATGAAATATAAATGTGTTCTGTTCAAAGTGTGAGTCAGTTTTCAGTTGATATGGCTTAATGCCAAGAGCACTGGGAGAGGTGGAGATGTGTTTCTTAAGTTACAGGTAAAAAAACATACATTGCTTTGAAACTGATGTCTAGATCCTTGCTGTTCCTAGGCCAGTAGATTTAAAAGGTTAAAAGTAATCTTGTTTTTTTTAGCAGCACTAGCAAGTCCTGCTGCAGCAACATGCTAGTGTACCAATCTCCGACACAACAAATTGCTGGGCAATGGAAGATGGGCAAGGAAGCGTTTGCCCCTTCATGTAAAAAGGCTTTAGTTGCAGAGCTATCCAGTGGTTATGGAGTTCATATAATGTGGAGAGAAGAGTAAAATGGGCCCTGTACAGAGGAGCTACTGTGGCGCACGTAGCGTACCGTGCTGCCAGCCCAAGGAGGCTGCAAGCTGCCCTGGGTTATTTTCTCGCCAGCTCCTGGTGCCTTTCCAGTGAAGTACGGAAGGGTATGGCAGTTGGGTTTTGTCTGCCAGATCTGACAAAAAAAGAGGCAGCACTTAAACATAGAGCATAATAATTTCTGGTGTCTATTTTAGATGAGAAGTTTATGGTAATGAAACTGCTTAAATGGCACACTGGTTACAAACAACGCAGGAGCGTGTGTTGCTTCTTTCTGTAAGCATGTACATGTTTGCTATCACTAAAATGGGTCCTGGAATCGGAAGGATGTTACTGCTGATGTGGCTGGTGCGGGGGTGCGTGCGCAGGGCTGACCGGGTCTGCGCTCCCCAATGTTTGAGCTGTTGGGTGTCGCTGTGACCCCAGACGGCATCGGGGGCCGGGTGTGGGGCCCCGGCACCCT